TCTGAATTCCAAACTCATCTGGCCCAAGAGTTTCACTAAATGTTCAGGGGATTTTAGTAGATTTTGTATGTCAATACCACTCTTCTTTGACTGCTTAATATATACAGGTTACACATCCATAATCCAAAAATATGAAATCCATAATACTTCAAAATCCAAAACTTTCTGAGTGCTGACATAACGTACAAGTAGGACATTCTATACCTGAGATCGTTTGATAATCAGAGTCAAAATGCAGGCACGCTAAACCACTGTATAAAATCACCTTCAAGGACTGGGGATGTAGCTCGGTGGTTGAGTGTTTGCCTAGCATGCACAAGGCTCTGGGTTCAATCCCTAGTACCACAAAAAAAAAAAGAAAGAAAAGAAAATCATCTTCAGGTTATGTATATAAGGTATATATGAAACATAAATGAATTTCATGTTTAGTCTTGGTCCAATCTTCAAGATATCTCATTATGTGTATCTAAATATCCCAAAATTCAGAAAAAAGTCTGAATCACTTCTAGTCCCAAGCATTTCAGATAAGGAAGGTTAGGTCTGTATCGTGATTCTTTCCTGCTCAATCAGATAATGGCTGATCCTGATGGGAGGATACAAATGAGAAAGCTTTAAATTTGGTGAGTGCTGCCCAAAGAACCTCTTACCAATCCACTTTACAGATCCGTTCTTAAAACACCTGGTTGGAATCTGGACCTGGTCTGATATAAAGCAATTCACTTTCCAAATTTACTTTTCAAATAAGCAACACTTTAAGGTAAATTTCTGTCATTGAAATCATAATGAAAACAAGTACAATCACCCTGCCATAAGGCTGGCACTACTTTATGTGCTACTTTAGCTTTGTAGCTGGTTATGTACTTGAAAACTCTAGAGCCATGTGACAATAAAATGTGATAACTGATCAAAGATGAGAGTCTGTCCTGGAGGGGCAATGCGGTAACCATTGTGATTGAATCAACCACCAAAATTGGACTAGGAATGGGTCATTTTTTTTCTTGTGACAGTACTGGGATTTGAACTCTTGGCTTCACACTTGTTAGTCAGGTGCCCTACCACTTGAGCTACTCCGCCACCTAGAAATGGATCGTTTAAGTATTGTATTCATCTTCAGAGTGGGTAAAAGGACATCATGTGTATGAATTAACCTTAAACCTTTCAGAAAAAAAGGTAGTGTGCACACAGTGTGCATAGAGTGCTCAAATGATAGACTGGGGTAAAACATTCATAACAATCAAATTTAAGTTCTTTGTTCTGTTCATATTGTTCTTTTTTTCTAACATTTGTGGGCTTGAAATTACTTCCAAATGAAAGTTTTTATTAAAAATTAAAGAGCTTATATATTAGGAAAGAAGTTTTTGAAAGAAAACAAACAAACAAAAAAACCACCCACAACTCTATAGCCTAAGCTGAATAATATCATAAGCAAATCATTGTTATCTCTATTTGCAGATCTTGTTAATTTCTATTAAATAGAAAATTCAGAATAGAACTATATAAATGTTACTATACATATTAGTGGATATTTTTAAGATTGTGTGTGCATTAGCATATCTGATGGTAATGCTGTTTAAGAGCCATGTGTTATCTACTCTCAGGGGTTTTGTGTTTTATATTTCTTGGCCTTGGTTAGCACCTGTAGCTTCTCCTGTGCAATCAGCGTCTGACTCAAAGTCAACCAAGGCTCACTGGCATGGTATTCAGCCAGTGCGGGTTGCTGTAACAGAAGATCATAGATAAAACCAAGGTGTATTTCTCACAGTTGGAGGCTGGGATGTCTGAGATCATAAAGGCCACTTGCTGGTTTGCAGATGGACAGCTGTCTTCTTGCTGTGTTGTTACATGGTGGAGTGGCCCACACATGAGGACTAATGACTTAATCACTTTCCAGAGGCCCCATCTCCCAATACCACCTCCTTGGAGCTAGGATTTCAGCATACGAATGTAGTGTGAACACAGGCATTTAGAGTATAGGTTAATGGAAAGTTTTGGCAAAATTGGTGTTGACTGAGTTCTTGGGTCAACGTCCACTGTGACTTTGGGCAAGGCACTTAACATTTCTGGATTTTCCAACTGCTCTGTTTGCATTACAGAACTGTTATGGGACTTGCATGAGCACCCTCCAGGAAATTATCATGTGCAACATAATGTTATTGAAAAATTAGAAATAACAGGGAGCCTAAAGTGCCTTGCTTATATTGGCATTATTTTTATTTTTCATATTATTATCATTTCCTAGTTACGAATCATAAGTAAACAACAGTTTTCATGAAAGAAAGCATCTATGACTACTACTGGAATAGTAGCTTATATGTTACATACATATAATATCTTTTTACAGTTAAGAATATATTATATATGTCTGTAATATGGTGTTTTTACACATAAAGGGGAAAAAGGCAACTATATCCCTGATTCTTATCATTCACAGTTGCTTTCATAATAAATGATGCAACCACAAAGCTTAATTTCTCACCCCTATCACCTGATAGCTGCAGTAGGCAGTGGCACTGCCCCTGTATTGCATGTAGTCTTCATCCCAGTACCTGGCTGAAGAGCAGCTGGCTCTGGGACGTGTCATATTCCTGACCAAAGGAACAACCAGGAATCCTAGGATCAGTAGACCTGACATGTGTTGCATCCGCTCTAATTGCATTGGCTAGAGCAAGTCATATGACCAAGTGGGGATAAAACACATGAGCATACTCTATCCCATTGGGCAAGTCAAGTCAAAGGCAGTGATGTATGATTCTGTTTAGCAGGAACTGAAAATAATTGGGCACAAAAATACAATCTAAAGGCTGAGGGCATGACTCAAGTGGTAGAGCACACTTGCCTAGCCCTGAGTTCAAACCCCAGTACCAATGACAACCACCAAAAAATAATATAATTTATTATCCTATGTTTTTCCAATTCTTTGTTTAAAAGTACATATCAGTTTCAATGAAAATAAGCAACAATTTATAGGAAAGCATTTGCCATTAAAAGAAAGTTTTGAGTTTAATGACTTTCAGAGATGTAACAGCTTTATTTTGGCAACTTGTATTGAGAACACCTGGAAGATTGCACACTCCCATATCGTTGGGCTCCTTTCCTAAAAGCTTCCTGGGGTTTTTGCTGTACACAGATGGGCAGATGGGTTCTATTTTGGTGTGCTGTATCCAGAGTGTAAATGAGCTGGCGTCTTGAGGAAGAATGCCAAACTTACCCCTCCTGCCATTGGCAATTGGAGAGCTTGGGAACATTGAGAGACACTACCACGGGATGACATGGTCACTCATTTACATGGGTCACTCACATGGTGTCACTGGGACAGTAAAGAAATTTTAAGCAATTTACCTAAGCTTTTTACTTTATTGGGTTTTTTTTTCATTTTTTTATTTTACTTTTTGCATTACTAGGGTAGTTGATGTTTTTGCCCTCCTTTTAGTTGTAATAGAGTGTGTATCCACGTCTGTTGGTGTCTTTTTTGCGGTAGTGTGCAAAACTACTCTGTGTGTGTGTGTGTGTGAGAGAGAGAGAGAGAGAGAGAGAGAGAGAGAGACAGAGAGAGACAGAGAGAGACATGGGAGGAAAAGGAAGGAAGAAGGAGAAGGAGGGTCAGAGTGTTTCAAAGATTCATATTCATAGTCTCATGGGTTTTAGATGTGGAATATCCTTGTCCCAGTTATATAAATTAAGGTTCAGTAGAACCTTAATTAAAGCTTTGTCCATGATGCAGGGTGTTGGCAGCTGGCCACAGTTCAAACCTCAGTCTTCATTCTCCTAATCCAAACTCTTTAATAGTTCAATGAGAAGGAGCTTTTGAAATTTTTACACTTGTGCCTCTCGAACTCCATTACAATCACATATATTGCTAAACATGTATGTGTGTGTAAACAGTCCTACATTTCTCATTCCTTTGTGTGAATCAAGTGTGATACTAATTCCTAATTGGTACTTAAGTTTTTCTTGGTTTGATGTAGAATAAAGTAGTGTATTATTCAAATAGAATATGAAGCTCCTTTTTTTGGTGGGACTGGTGTTTGAACTCAGGGCCTTGCTCTTGGTAGGCAGGTACTCTACAACTTTGTCACACTCTCAGTCCTTTTTTGCTCTAGTTATTTTTCAGGTAGGGTCTTGTGTTGTTTCCCCTGACTGTCCTGGACTGAGATACTTCTACCTAGGACCTCTTGAATAGCTGGGATAACAGACATGGGATATCACACATGGCTTACTTGTTGAGATGGGGATTTTGCTAACTTTTTGCCCCAGCTGGCCTCAAGTCTCTATCCTCCCAATCTCCATCTCCCAAGTAGGTGGGATTATAGGAGCAAGCCATTGAACCCACCCCTGAGGTTCTTTTATAATGCTATTCTCTTCATGTATAAGTTTGCTTTAAATTTACCTGACCTAATTAGTAAGCTGTATCCAACTAGGAATTTTTTGTGGTATTGGGATTTGAACTCAGGGCCTCACGATTGCTAGACAGGCCCTCTACCACTTGAGCCATTCCGCCAGCCCTTTTTTGTGTTGGGTATTTTTGAGATAGGGTGTTGAGAGCTATTTCCCCTGGATGGCTTCTAACTGTGATCCTCTGCCTCTTGAGTAGAGAGGATTAAGGAGTAAGCCACTGGCACCCAGCTGAATTTTTTTTTACAAAGAATATGGTTTTAAACTTAATATGCTAAATTAAATATGGTGCAAAAGTTGATTCAAATAACGGGTATAGTCATATTTTCCAAGATTGTACTTGGAATAATATAGACTATACAGCCAATAAAAAAGAATCGTACGAATCATTAAACCAGTATTGAACAATCACTGCGTAATGCAGGTGAAGCGTTCAGCTAGTGAATGTTACCAGTCTGCTGTATGTGGCGCTTCACATAGCACAGATAACTTGCTGACAAATGGCATTTTCATTATTATCCGTAACTTTTCTCTGTGCTGTAGTCTGTCAGTAAATGTTTTACAGAGACTCTGATGAAAACTCATCTTATTTTCACTTTCTTTTACAGGGTGTTCATAAGAATGGAAGCAGTGTTTCTTTGCCACACTCCTTTCTACTGGATCTCATGAACTGGCATAATCTTGAAGAAGACACTCCATTTAATATGACAAACCTGTCACCAGTATAGCAACAAGAGTGAGGGCAAACACGAACAAAAATAAAGTAGTATTTAAATTTATATTCAACAAGGAAGTCATTTCAATCAAGACCTTCTGCTGCCTTATTTTTGCAAGATGAACCGATACACGACCATGAGACAGTTGGGGGACGGCACATACGGGAGCGTGCTTATGGGGAAAAGCAACGAATCTGGGGAGCTGGTGGCTATCAAGAGGTATGTGGGCATACCTGTGGCTGTCCTGTGACACTTGAGTCTTTGTTTTTTTTCTTGTTTGAGAATATTTACAAGCACAAAGAGGTCTGCTTCAGACCTCATGCTCATGTGACTAAAGAAGAATGCCATTCTGGAAAAAAGAAAATTACTGAAGAGGAATATCCTGCCAGTCCTTGTATATATTTAATTTTCTGCTTTGTACAGATACAATGACAAACTGAAAAATTTAGGTGCTGTCCTTATGCATAAAACATTTAGACTGAAACTAAAAGTGATGAATTTTATTTTTCAAATTTAAAGTTGAGTACAGAGTAGATAGAGCTTATTGTTTATTTAAGACAAAGTCCTCAAAATAAGATGATATTCGTAAGGTCAAATTGAGTTCTGAATGGTATGTAATATTTTCCTGAGCATACCAGTTAAATAGAATTATATATTTCTTTTTAATCTATTATATTTATCTATTGCTACATAACAAAATACCCCACAACTTAGTAATTAAAATAATAACAGACATTATTGGTTCACACTGTTTCTGTAAGTTAGGAATTTGGAAGTGGCTGAACTCGATAGATTTGGCTTGGGGTCTCATGAGATAGCCCTTGGATATCAGCCAAGGTCAGACATGCGAAGGCTTGACTGGGGCCTGACAATCCACTCCCACTATTTGAGTTTGCTAGGGTTATACCACAGACTGGGTGGCTTAAAAGGTAGATGTTTATTTTTTCACAGTTCTGGAGACAATAATCCTGAATTCAAGGTGTCAGTACGGTTAACTTCTTCAGAGGCCTCTCAGGATTAAAATGACTGTGTGAAATACTTTTCATAAAAATACGTTTGTCTATAAAAATATTTTTGCAAGGTGAACACTGGTGGCTCATGCTTATAATCCTGGCTACTTGGGAGGTTGAGATCAAGAGGATTGCTGTTCAAGGCCAACCCAGGCAAATTACTCGAGAGAACCCATCTCCAAAATAATCGGAGCAAAATAGACTGGAGTTGTGGCTCAAGTGATAGAGTGCCTGCTCTGTGAGTGGGAAGCTCTGAGTTCAAACCCCAGTCCCCTCCACCCCAACACACTCATACACAATCATTATTTATTTATTTATTTATTTTGGGGAGAGGAACTGGGGCATGGCTAAAGTGGGAGAGCACTTGCCTAGCATGAACAAAGCCCTGCATCCAATCTCCAGCACCACAAAATAATAATAATAATAAAATAAGGAATAATATTTTTAAGGCCTGGGATGATACACACAAAAATTCATGATAGCTGTGGCTTCTGGGGCAGGGGGCAAAAGAATGAAAAAAGTGGAGTTGGGTCTTGTGGTGGTGTGGAAGTTATCACCATTCAATTTTGTTTGACAAAAGGTTCATTACTCCTTTTAGATGGCAAAAACATGGTGTTTATTTAAGTGATCCTTTCATAAAGTAGGGAATTGGCCTTACTTTTACCAACCTAGGTGAAGTCCTGGGAGCGTTGAATGCCCAATGCTATAAGAAGTCAAATATATTGAGGGATGAGAAGGCACCGTCAATAATGTAGGAATGTTTTTGCAGAATGAAATATAAAAAGTCTATCCCAAAGTAATTTAGAGACTTATTTTTATCGTGGTACAAATCTACCATTGAATTATGTATTTTAAATGATTGAATTGTATGACATGTGAATTGTATCTCAGCCTGCTGTTGTATTTTTAAGTCATGCAATAGGCAGTCCAGGCCAGTGCCTTCTCTCAATGCTGCTTTAACAGACATAGGCTTTTCTATTTAAAAAAAAAAAAGTGCTGCTGCAGCTCCAGGCATTAAGTATGAGTTCCAAGCAAGAAGAAATAGGAAGAGCAGTTAAAATTATTGCACTTTTTTTTTAATCTGAGGAGCAAACGTTTTCCCACAGCCCTATCCAGAGACTTCTAGTTACTTCTCATTGTCTTACCTCACTACCAGGGAGGCTGGGAAACTGAGTGCTTAGCTGGACATTTTGTTTGCCTGTATAAAAGCTGAGCTCTATCACTAAAGAAGAAGAGAAGAAGGCTTTTGGATAGTCAGCTCACAGTGTCTGCTCACAGTGTCTATATTAAGTGTCTACTATATGCCAATGTTCTAAATGAAGCAAAACAGAGCAAAAATGAATGAGAGGTCCTATGGAAGACTTGAGAAAATTTAAAATTTCACACAGCACATAATCATTAAACCCTTATTAAGGGCTGGGTATGGTGGCATACATCTGTAATCCCAGTTCCTCAGGAGATAGGGGTAGGAGGATCAAAGTCTGAGGCCAGCCCAGGCAAAAGTACAAGACCCAATCTGAAAAATGAACTAAAGAAAAAGGGCTGGGCACATGGCTCAATTGGTTGAGTACTTGCCTCGTAAGCATGAAGTCCTGAATTAAATTCCCAAAAAAAAAATAGTAGGACAAAGTGAAGGTAACACACATACATTAGACACATTACTCTAATGATGAAAGCTAACAAATTCCACAAGCCATAACATAAAGTGTGCTAATTCCTATGATGGAGGAATATTGGGTCCCAGGGAGCACAGAATTGATGCTGCAGAAGTATCATGAAGACCAAGACTTCAGGGCTGGTGCAATGGCTCAAGTGGTAGAGCACCCACCTAGCAAGTGTGAGGCTCTGAGTTCAAATCCCAGCACCACCAAAACAACAACAAAAAAAGACCAAGACTTCACAAATGAGAAAAATATTTTTAAAAAGAGGAAGGGAAAGAATGTTGCAGCTAGTAAGAATAGTGTCTATGAAGACTTGGAGGCAAGAGAGAGTGACAGCATGACTGGAGCTTAGTAGGTGAGAGAATGTGCATGGCTAGAGTGTAGATGGTGAGTGGGCCTATAGGAGACAGGAAGCTGAAGGGTGAAGTCAGGAAGCCAGGTAGAGGAGCTTGCATGTCTTAAGGACTAGATGTCATCATGAAGCATTTTAAGCAGAAAAGATGATATGATCAAACTTAGATAGATCCCTTTCTAAAAGAGAGAAAGCAGTCAAGATTGGACACAGGTGGCCAGTTATAAGGTCAGTGTTAGAGGTGATAGTGGCCTTGTCTAGGAACACAGCAGTGGGGATGGACACGAATGGACACAGGACATTCAGGAGGCAGGTTTTGCAGAAAGTGGGCATGGGGAAAAGGAGCAAAGCGTGGGCAAGAGTCCAGACCAACTCCTGGGGTCCTGGCTTACAGGACAGTGGCAGTGCCATTCACCATTACAGAAAAGGGAAGTCATAGGCTGAGGGGGAAAGCCAAGTTTAGGATTAGGCATAATGACTATAGCATTTAAATCTCCAAACAGAGGTCTAGTCTGGTGATTTGGAATTGTAGGTTGAACATCTCCAGTGCAACAATCTGAAATCCACATGCTCCATATCTGAAACTTGCCTAGTGCCGACATGACACATAAGGAGAAAATTCCACACCTGACCCTATGTGAAGCCATGTGAGATTGCAGATAAAATGCAGGCACAGAGCCAGGCACTGGTGGCTCATGCTTGTAATCCTTGCTACATAGGAGGCAGAGATCAGGAGGATTGTGGTTCAAAGCCATCCTGGGCAAATAGTTCACAAGACCCTATCTCAAAAAAAAAAAAAATCACAAAAATAGGGCTGGTGGAGTGGCTGAAGGTAAAGGCTCTGAGTTCAAACCCCAGTACCACAAAAAACATCAGGCATGCTAAAAATAAATAAAATAACCTTTAAACTGTGAGTATAAGGTATATATGAAATCTAAATGAATTTTGTGTTTAGACTTGGTTCTCATCCCAATATATCTCATCATGTTATTCAAATATTCTAAAATTCCAAATACAAAACTCTTCTCTTCCCAGGCACTTTGGATAAGGAATACTTGACCTGAATTAGTTTCTAGATGATAATTGAAACTATATATGAAAACAACTCACTTACTGTAACACCCAGTCGGGACCATCGTCTTAGGCTTGGTGGTATAAATTTCAATACTCCCAACTTAAACCATAAATATTCCCTACAAAAAATAAAATAAACTCCATGCTGAATAATTCTGCAAAGCAGATGAAGAAAAGCTACCTATGCTTAATCTTCACAGTGGGTGGTAAACATGTCTGCTGGAAGGACAGGTGATTATCTAGAGGGTATTTTTCATTCTAAAAAGTTTCTAAGTGGAGAGCCAGGAGCCACGTGTTGGGGATAGTTGTGGGGGCTGCTACTGGCACAAGGCAGGCTTGGTTAAGGATAATGTCAGAGACAAATGGAGAAGAGGCTGAATGCTAGCACAGCATGGGGATAGCTAGCAGAAATGTGTGTGGCCTGACAGATGATGGGTGACGGACAGGGTGGTTATAATCTGAGACTATGAACACAAGGAAGAAAATTGGTGCAGTTATGCACCCTACAACAGCATCTCCATCAGCAACGGACAGTACGGACCATATAAATGCAGTGCCCAGTGCCCTACCAGCTAAATTTGTGTAAGTGTGTGGTACAATGTTTCACGGCATTGAAACTGCTTAAAGATGCAGTCATCTAATGTTATCCTGTTGTTAAGCTACAAGTGACTGTACTTAATTCAGTCAGAATAGCTTTGAGCAATCTAGAAATGCAGTCAAAACTAGCTAGGATATGTTGGAAAGTGATTGGTTAGAATTTGGAAGACCACTATAAACAGCAAAATAAAAGGTCAGGGGGAGCGTTAATTTAGAGCACTGCTAAGAAACCTTTTCTTATTGTTGCCATGTTCATTTTCTTGTGGTGCTGGGGAATTGAATCAACATTCTTGTGCATGCCAGACACTGCTACCATTATTTTTAAAAAGCTCAACAGCCAGGTGCAGTGGTACATAACTGTAGTCCCAGCTGCTTAGGAGGCTGAGGTGAGATGAGTGCTTGAGTCCAGGAGTTTAAGGTCAGCCTGGACAACATGTAGACACCATCATAATGATGGTGATGATACCAAGACTCAGGACCACATTTCAAATTTTAAGAAGCTATAATTTACCATTCATGCTAGAATATGGTGGCAAGATTTCCTCACCCTATTGAGATAAATGTTTGTTAAGCTCTCTGCCCTTTAAGGACTTGAGAGGCAGTTCCATTTCTGAGGTTTTCTGTCTGTGGGAGCCCATGTCCTCAGTGAGCCCAGCTTTGGGTGTAGAAATTCATGCAGTCATTTAGCATATTTATTGAGCAGCTACCGTGTGCCAAAAATCTGGGCATATGGGAGTGTCCCGAAGGAGCTTACATCTGGGGAGAGGAGGGAAAGACAGAGCTAAGTGTGTCATACTCTAGAGCATGTAGGTATGGGGGTGCTTCGGGGAGATGTACAGCAGGAAACAACCTTGTGGTATAGCACCATTGTTTTCTTTCCATGAGTAACTTTGAAAATGAGCTCAGGGTCTTAAAGAAGTGAGGGTTGGCCTGAAGTGGCCTTTTATGTCCTCTTACCTACCAGTTCCTCCTCCTAGCATTTTCCTTCTGCCTGAAATTGTTTTCTGTCTTCACGTGCTAGCACCTCCTGTCTCTGAGGTCTCAGCTGAAATAATTACCTTATTAAAAGGGACTAGCCAATAACTAAATCTTAAGGGTCCCCATGCTGTTCTAGCTCATATTTCCTATACCTATTTTCTACTTCTGTTTACTAATGGCTGTGCCCTCCCTTACATGGGAAACACCATAGTGACATCTCTGATCTGTTCATTGTTCTGTCACGCAGTGGACGTTGGATGAATGATTCAAGAAAGAACACAGCAGGGAATCTAAAAGAAAATGTCTTTTCATGGCTATTGTTAGAAACTGGGTTGTCTTTGGGTAATTATTGTGCAAGAATGTTTCTGTATTTGTAGTAGATGCATGCATCATCTTAGAGCAGTACTGCTAGTAAGTAGTAATTGCTTGAAAGAAAGCATCTAGTAAATATAGATGAAGAAAGCACAAGCTTTACAAGTAGAATCTACATTTCAATTATGACTTAATTATGAAAAGTAAGTTGTATATGTTTTTATCCGGCTTCTAAATGACTAGATACTTTTTAAATTCTGCAATTATTTGTTTAAGAATAAGCAGATTATGGGCCACACTTGGCAATATAGGATTATAATCACGGCTCCACAGGAAGCAGAGATAAGAAGATCATTCAAGGCTAGTCTAGGGTGGAAAAACCCTATCTCAAAAATAAGCTGGGGTTCAAACCCCAATGCCGACCAAAAAAAAAATTATCAAATGCAAGCTAGAAAAATAAGCTGGGCATGATGGTGCATGTCTATAATCCCAGCTATGTGGGAGGTCAAGGTAGGATGATCTCTGTAGAGCACTTGCCTAGCAAGAGAGAAGCCCCAAGTTCAAAATCCACTACCACAACAAAAAAGGAAATAAATAATAAGTAGATTATATGCGCAGTTTGGGGTAGGGATGATATTTTATTAAACTGTTCTTTACAAGTGTATATTCTTAATTCTGATTGCCAAGAATGTTGTCAAATAACAGCAGTGATGCCCTTCATGTTTTAGGATTGAGCACAGGTAACTGGTAAAAATAAAATGCGTACTCACTGAGCGCTGGACTACCAGCTTGTGAAAGCTTTCCTTGTGTAGTGGACACTTTATGGCTAGGAATCTGAGGCCCAGGGAGGCTCTGAGGTGACTCCACAGCTCATGTCTTGCTGTAGTGCTGGGCCGCCAGGCCTTGCATAGCAATTTACCTGTGGATAATGACCTGTGAGGCTGCTGAGTCAGAAGACCAAAAACCCTATGTTCTCCCTCCTATGCGGACTTTAAATCAAGGGCAAATGCAGCAGTGTGGTTGGACTGGGATCACACGACAGTGATAAGGGCAGAACAGGACGTGCCTGAAACTGAGGGGGAGAGGGGAGAGAGGGTGGAGGAGGGGGGTAGGGTGGAGAAATGACCCAAACAATGTATGCACATGTGAATAAATGAATTTAAAAAAAAAAGAACGATTCTCATTAGTAAGGTAGCTCCAAGCTTCTGGAGAATCTTCTAGAACATCTCAGTAGGGATTATAATACTAAATGAAAGCACAGAGCATACTTGATTTTTATTTTTCATAGACTAGCCTTCTAATTTCTATACCTGAAGAAACATTTTTAGCACATGAGGCTTGTCTTTCCTTAACTCCTGTTTTGTGTGATGACTAAAAATCCACTCATAGAAAAACACAACCTCTACTGTACACAAAGTGGAATTACTTTATTACTTAAAAAACACACTTTTGGTATATGTATCTCTAATGGTAATGGGAGATTACCATTGGGATGGGAAAGGGGAAGTAAAGGACAAAATAGAGAGAGAGAGAGAGCACTATTTGTAAAGCTCAGTCATGTCTGAATTCTTGCTGATTTGTGAATCATTTAAATGTACAGGCCTCTCATCTACAGCTAAGGTAATGATATAAAAGCTGCCAGATGAAATCCTTGACTAAATTTAAAACAAAACTTGTTATTCTTTCCCTCTTCCCTTCTGAAGTATAGGGTTTCATATTTATCTTAAGTTCCAAAAAGAGAGGAAATGTGGAATGGCCCTTTTAGAAAAGCATTATTAAACTGACTTAAAATGTTAAGAACTCACCCAGAGGGGTTAAAGCCGAGTGTTATCAAACACGACCTGGGCAGGAGCCTTCACCCAGCAGCGCTGAGGTGTAGTGGGAGTCATGTGTCAAGGAAGAGGAAGAGAGGTGCCACACCCTGCCAAGAGTGGACCAGTAACAAAGAAAGAAACCAGTGTTGTTGTTTGTATCTTGGAATCGTCAACCATGAGCACCAACGGTTCTTTTTCTACTTCAGGATGAAGAGAAAATTCTATTCTTGGGATGAATGTATGAACTTGAGAGAAGTTAAGGTAAGGTCTTAGAAATGAGAAGAGTTCAGGGCCCTGACTTACCTGACTTACCTGAGACAGCAGCTCTGGAGGTCACCCTGTGTGGGAGGCCTCTAGAGACAGTGCTGCTTGTTTTCCCTTTTTCTTCCAAAAGTGACTTCTCATTTTTCTTGCTCTGATGTTAGTGAAGAACAGAAAATACCATATTTGAAGGTTCTCTCTCATTTAGAAGGACATTTTAAACTCATATCAAAAGAAGGACAATTTTTTAAATTGCTACATACAATTTCCTTTTATTTTAACTATCTGACTGACTTGAATAAGTTTTCAGAGACATTTTCATGGTTAAGCCAGAAAAAAAAAAAGACAGATGGATTTTATAGACCAAGAAAAAAAGTGAATGATTAAAATGTTTGGTAGCTATCGTTGGCTTGGTTTATTTTTGTACTCGTCTCTTGAAACATTTGCTATTTATTTAAATAGGTGTACCAAAATAGCTTTAAATTATAGAGGTATTAAAATGTAATTGTTAAGAATTGAAGCAACAAAAAATTACTTCAGGTAATTATTATACCTACCATTAATGAGATTTTGCCAGCTGTAATTTGCTTTAAGAATTTAATACTTAGATCCTTTCTTGGTTCATAAATGTGATGAATTCCCTCAAATTTTGTCACATTATCTGTCTGATGAGAAAAAAACAACAACAGAATTTAATGCTTTAGCCAGGTGTGATGGTACACACCTATAAGCCCAATTACTCAGGGGGAGGAGATCAGGAGGTGGAAGTTCAAGGGACCCCATCTCAACAAATAAGCTGGGCACAGTGGTTTACATTGTAATCCCACCTACATGGAAGGCATAGGTAGAAGGACCACAGTCCAGGCAAACAATAAAAACGAAACACACAACTTCTGGAAAATAACTAAAAGCAGAAGAAGGCGGGGGGCACAAATTTGCCCTACGCGTGCCAGGCCCTGAGCTGAAACCCAGTACTGACAAAGAATTCAGTGTTTTGCTGTTTTGCAGTCTCTGAAGAAACTTAATCATGCCAATGTGATTAAACTGAAAGAAGTTATCAGAGAAAATGACCATCTTTATTTTATATTTGAATATATGAAAGAAAACCTCTATCAATTAATGAAAGACAGGTAGGTCTGTTTTATGAAACTGAATTTTTTCCTGTTATTTCTTGTGTGAATTCCTTGGATCCTTTCAATATGTCATACTTTATGAAAGATAAAGGCATCACTTCAAGAGATGCATTTAGTTAAACAGTTCTGTTATTCTGTCAAATAGCAGCAGGAACACTACAGAACCAATTAGAAAGAACCACCATTTTCCTGTTGCAATTCTTTAAAAGTCAGGGAAATATTTCTTACAAGCACACTGACACACTTTCAGAAATAAAACTCTGTAGTGTAATCTTCAGTAATACAGCTGGCGTTGGGCAGAATTGGGGAAATGTCTTCATTATCCTCTCAATCACCTTGTGAAAGGTTAGCTAGAAAAGGACAGAGAAAGTCATGAAGTGACTTTCAGGAGAGAATCTAGTAAACTCATCATAGAGCGCACAAGTGAGCTGTAAGACAATGTGTTACTAGCCCCAAGGAAAGCCTCATTTTAACTTTTAAACCTAGACAAATCTCAAAAGTCAAAAAAATTAAGTTAGTTATTGGTCACTTAAATTGGTGGCCAGGCAGAGATTAGCATTCTGCAGCTTTAGTTTAGTCCTTATTAGGGTCTTACTGTAGACATTCATAGGTGTCATTTAAAGCTGCATTGTCTCCTACAATAGCCACTAGTTAGATGTGGCTGTTGAGCTCTTGGATGTCCAAATGTGCTGAGCATGGTGACGCATACCTGCAACCCTGGCTACTCAGGAGGGAGGGACAGGAAGATTGCAAGTTTGAGGCCACACTGGGCAACGTTAGTGAGACCCTATCTCAAAAACAAAATAAAAACAAAAGGACTGGAGGAATAACTCAGGTGGTAGGGCCCTTGCCTAGCAAGCACCCATTACCATAAAAGATACACAAAAAGTGTAAGTTAAACTATGCCGTAAATGTAAAATAGATTACATACCAGGTTTTTGAAAACTTGGTTTGAAAAGCATGTATTAATAATTTCTTATATTGTTTGCATGTTGAAATATGGTGCATATTAAATTTCAATAAAATATATTATTAAAATTAGAGCTAGGGCTGGTGGAATGGCTTAAGTGGTAGAGAACCTGCCTAGCAAGCATGAGGTCCTGAGTTCAAACCCCAGCACCACAAAAAAAAAAAATAATAAGGCTGGGTAGAACGCTTGCCTAGCATGCCCAAGGCCCTGGGTTTGATCCCCAGTACCCCAAAAAAACAAATTAAGTGGAGAGGGGAGAGACGGGGAGAAGCTGATTGATGGGCACTGAGGTAGGAGTAAGAAGCTCTGGCATGCAGGTGACTATAGAAGTCCACTATGTGCTGTGTATCTCAAAAAGCTACAAGAAGGAATTATTAATGTTTTCACCACAAAGACATAATGTATGTCTGGAGAGATAGGTATGTCCAACCTGATTCATACAAAGCACAGTGCATGCATGTGTCAGAACATCGCAAGGTGCTCCATTGATATGCACAATCTTTATGTGCTTAGGTATCAGTTAAAAATAAATTTAAAATAAAAATCTTAAAAGGAATTTAAAACTTCACTGTATCTATTTTGTTTGCTTCTTTAAAATCTGGTTAGAAAAGTTATCAGTAGTTGCCAATGCGTAAGTGGCTCTCATTTGTGACTCTTCTGTGTTTCTCTTGGGCCTTTCTGATGGATGATACAGAACCAAAGCATCCTGACATTCTTCAGGCCACCTAACACTGGTGTGCACACCTGGCTTGTCTGACAGTGGTATAGTTTCCAGTTTACTTTGCTCTTCTTAGGACGGTTTAGGATTTAGCTGTTGGATATTTATGTGATTCATTCAGTGTTGGAGTGGAGTTTTCATAAAACATCAAAATGAAAAAATTCTTTTTTCATGTTTTAAGTTGATAATCTCTAACACTATAAATCTGTAAATTACACCATTAATCAGTATCCTGAGGCCAACAGAGGCAAGAGGAATACCTACATCCTTTGTATTGGTTGCTCATCAGAATTTCCTATTTATTTATTCCTTTCTTCCAGAAATAAATTATTCCCCGAGTCAGTCATCAGAAATATTATGTATCAAATATTGCAAGGACTGGCATTTATCCATAAACATGGTAAGTGTCTCATTTCCCTGCCTCCGGACTGTCAAGGTCACATACAGGAATTGTATGTCAACTGTTAAATGTTATATTGGATAGCTACATGTGTGGGTTGTGTGCCTATGCACATTGATTGTTTTATCTAAAACTTGATACTTTTTATAATTCCCGTAGAGTGCCTGTAGTCTGTAACTATCTTCCTCTACAGCAGATGTTTTAAGAATGTGACCATTAGTCTGTTGTCTCCGTCATCATAAGCCCATCCTGTGACCTCATTCTCCTCCCCCAGTCGTCATGAACATGTAAGAAGTGAAAAGTCCCTCCTTTTGAAAAGATTGGAATTCTTCAATCTAGCATGCCACTAACCTTTAAGTAATCTACAGCCCCTGGGGGTGGTGTTTTACAGCTGACCTTAGTATTTCCATTTAGTTGGATCTTTGAGTAAAATTATAACAGATATTTATTCTTATTTTCTATGAATTTATTATTTCTTTAATTTGTTAACTGTTGTTTATCTATTAGACCAAAATAATTATTAGCTCAAAAGTTAATATGGTTGTTTTTGTGAATCACTTAGATGCTCAAGTATTAAGACAGAAAAGAGCATTAGCCCATACTGCATTCTGAACACAGGCAGACAAACGCCTCCATCCCTGCCTCCTTTCTGTCTCATCTTATATTGTACCTTTACCTTTCTCCTTTCTTCTCCAACTGCTACAGAAAATAATTTATCTCCCAAAAACGCTATGTTGAATTCCATACTTGTATGGAATTTTTTATTAGAGATGAAAACTATTGTGAATAACTTTAAAAGTCTAAGGCCATAGTTAATATAGACCCTCCATTAGTAAAACTCAGTAATTTACTAAGTATGTAGAAATCCAGGATTACTTGCTGTTTTAATTGTTTATATTGGACTGCTCATTAAACAACCTTAGATTAAACACTGATTAAACTCTTGATATTTGCCTGAGTTGACTGATGCTATCATCAGCTTCCAAGGCATAAATAGGCAAAGGAGGAAATTAATTTAGGATTTAAAATTTGTGTCTCGAAGTAAATAACATATGAATGATAACTTGGAGTTGACTGTAGGTGATACATAGTGATTTTGGAAGGCAGGTTCTAAGGACAATAAAATATTTTACAAAAACCAATTTATTTTTGCTATAGATAAGCATCTCAGATGTTATACTTTGAAAAATAGACACTTGCACATAAAAGGTGTCAGAAAGGAGAGTACTAAAATAGGACCAAATTACCAGCATTAGTAAGAAAGGGGAAAACCTGAGTTAGGTAAATATGTATGTGTTTAGTTCTCTAAGACTTCATGTTTCATTTCCATTCCTGTCTTTACATTATGAAAGTTCACTGAATTTCTCATGGACATTAGTGAAATGTCTCTTCTAGCTATTCTGATTAAGATGTATCAGTTAAACTCAGAGCACAAAACTTGCACATATCACAAAGGTCAAGTCCATGCTGGCTTAGAAGTGATTAAAACATTTAGGCTTAGGAGTCCTAACCCAAAGCTACATGAAATACCTCTTGGAATCACCTATAGTCCTCTGACTAACAAGACCAGTAGAATCTGTGCATCTGTTCACATGGTACACCCGCGATCGCCCTCAGGAAAAGACTCCTCAGGTCTGATCTTCAAGGAAGGCTGCATCCTGTTCTCTCTCCTGGGTTTCCTGATTGTTTTCTTTGGGCTGTCCATTAGCCGTGGTAACCAACCATTTATTGGATATGTTGAATGCAAGCATTATAATTATGGGTGGTTTAATGACACAACCACTGAGCTGTTAAATAAAATAATTCTAAATGAAATTTTGACCAATGTCCTATTCAAGTAAGTGATAATACTCAAATAATCTAGTGTTAGACTATAGTGTAACAGTGGCAGGCATAAGCCTGATCAGGAAGCATCCCCAAGCAGTGATTAGGTTACTTCTGTGGGTCCAGACTTCTGTCTCTTACACAGTAGTGATGATAACACCTACAGCTTCCCAAAGACTGTGGAAACTAGTGGAAGTCACAATGCCCGTATCTGTCCCTGTGCCTGAACCTAGTGAAGTCTTGTGCACATCAAACAGGTGGCTGTTTGAGTGCTCTTACTACCATGTGGCCTTTCATGCCAGAATATTTTGAGGTCAGGGTCCCCACATTCTGCCACTTTTTAGACAATAGGTACGGTTTGTGTTTCTAATTACAATAGAGGCTCAGTTATATTTTGCTTATGAACCAAATAAACCTATGTTTAAACATTATTATTATCCTTTTTCTCTCTCTCTTGCCAAGGCTTTTTTCATAGGGACATGAAACCAGAAAACTTGCTTTGTATGGGTCCAGAATTGGTGAAAATTGCTGATTTTGGACTTGCACGAGAATTAAGATCACAGCCACCATACACTGACTATGTGTCTACCAGATGGTGAGTGATTCATGCAGCCCTCCCAAGGCATCCGTTTATGTTGAAGTTTTCCTATGATGAATAGTTACTGTTTTTCTTGAGGTTTTGATATGTAAAGCAAAATATTGAAATGAATTTTATATTGTTTAAAGAGAGGAAAGAACTGGCTCCTGATTGTTCTGATCAGTGAAGTAAGGGAAGGAAAAAGGATTTCATTCATTCACTCAGCCAGTACTATTGAATATCTACTACGTGTCTACTGTTGTAGGAACTGGAAACACAGCTGCGAACAAAACAAAGGAAAACATCTGCCTTGTGCTGCTTACCTGACAGCTGACATACAAGTAAACAAGCTCAGTCAGAACTGTGCTTTTGGGGCTGAAATAACGATAACAATACAAGTCTAGTAGCCGGCTGGATAAGTGGTCCAGAGCACAGGGGAAAGGGCTGGGCTGGAGGTGTAAACTTGGGGGTTCTCAGTGCTAAGACTCTCAAGGCTGAGTGAGAGTACCAGGAGAACTCTTGTGACTGACCCATGTCCCTGTTTGCCCAGGATAATCTCAGGCAGTGCCATTATCAACAGTGTCATTGAAATGAGCCAGGATGGGTCAGGTAGATCTCCACTGGTTGCTTCCTGCTTCCTCCATGGTCCTCTACATATGTGGTTAGAGGCATGTGAGCAGTGAACCAAGTTTGTACCTTGACATGGATAAATATGAAAGATGGCTGGTAATTTCTCATCTCTCTCTCTCTCTCCCAATCTTTCCCTCCTCTGTCTGTCTGTCTTTCTTTCTCTCTCTCTCTCTCTTGTCTCTCTAGGTTTTTTGACTCAGGATCTTGCTTTGTAGACCAGTCTAGCCTCAAACTTGCACTCCTCCTGCCTCTACCTCCTGGGTGCTGGTATTACAGGTGTGCACCACCATGCCTGACTCCCATCTCCATCCGACTTTTGCTTAAAGCAGGAGCATTTGACACTGTTCCACGTGGCATGTGCTGTGTCCTTTGAGATGCTAGTTGATAGGATCCATGAGCACACAGGAAATTAGTGCTTAGCGCTGTACTTGTAGGGCACATAAAAAGTAGCCTGAATATTCTTTCTGTAGTAATTATTACATAGACTAAATGTACAGCTACTTTGTTGTTATATCTTGATTTGTGTCACCTTAAAAATACCTGTGACTCTAACCTTACTTGGAAATAGTCTTTACAGATGTAAATCAGGTTAAGCTGACATCACACTGGAGTAGGCTGGGTCTTAATCCAATGATACCTGTGTCATTATAAAAAGAGAGACACAGAGATGGACATGCCCAGAAGGGAGATGTGTGAAGACACCCAGAGAAGAAGACAGAGTAGGTGGGGGAGGAAGGGAAAAGGGTGTGTCCACAAGCCGTGGAATCCCAAGGATTGCCAGCAATACCAGAAGCAAGAAAAGCAGCCCAGAACCGATTTCCCTAGAACTCAGAACTCCCAAAATTCATAGCCATGTCACTTTTTTTTTTTTTTTTGGCAGTACAGGGGTTTGAACTCAGGGTTTTATGCTTAGTAGGCATGTACTCTATCACTTGAGTCCTGCCCCCAGCCCTTTTTTTGCTTTACTTATTTTTTAAATAGGGCCTTGCATTTTTGGCCTTAGGACCTTTGACCTTGATCATCCAACCTATCCATGTAGCTGGGATTATAGGCATGTACTACCACCACACCCAGCTCCATCATGCCACATTTGGATTTGAGACTTCGAACCTCCAGAACTGTTGAAAGAATAAACTTCTGTTGTCTTTAAGCCACCTAGGTTGTGGTATTTGGTTACATAATAACAAAGGAACACATTTGATAGTGCTTTCTCAAGAAATTATTTTGCAGGGAAATCTTTTATTGACAATAGTCTCCAGAACCCAAAGTGCATATTTAATGAAAAGATAAGTCTTTTTTTGGTTCTTAAGAGAACCTGCTGATGAACTTACACAAAACAGTTGTTGGCAAATGTCCATAGCCGCTGACCTGGTGAAAACCAGAACACCCAAGTCTCCCCAGGCAGTGAGAAGTTAGTAGCTATGTTCAGAAGCCGGAGCAGTGGCAGCCCTTGGCAAGTGTGCTTCAGATGGGGTGCTTGCCATTCTGAAGCCTTTGCACTACCTTGCACGAAGGTCAGATGACTTCTAATTTCACTCACGCTCGACTCCAGGTTTTCATAGGCAGGCGTGAAAGGTAAATGATTGGCTGGGTATATACAGGTGTGTCACTGAGGAAGAACTTCATGGCTAAGTGAAGCCAGCTTTAAATGAGCATCTGCAAATGCTTCAAGGGAAAATCAGTTACCTTACTTCTAATAACGACCTAATTTTTCATTGTAGCTCATTTTGTGAAAGGCAAAATGTCTGAGATTACTGCAAATTGTGCTAATTTCAGTTAAGAATTACTGGTTTTGTAGTGATAATATAAAGACATTTTATTCAAGCACAGCATTTTAAAATGATCTTCTTAGTTCATTAAGAGGAAACTGAATAAGTAGAAATGTACTTGGGTGGGTTATGACGTATTTCTGTTTTAAAACTGTATGCCAACAAGCTGGGCCATTCCACCGATCAAAACAGAAAGCATGGTAATCAGAATTTACAGCTGGCTGTCCTACGCACCCACCCAGAGTAGCTCACATTCACTAATCCTCAGCCTGGCTGATGTGCTTTCTCTCCTTGTGTCTGTCACTGCCTTTGAAGAAGCATCTGGCTTCTTTGTAAGCATGACCTTTAAATTCTGGTTGTATTGTGTTCCAAGTCACTTGGACAACTTCAGGATTTTTGATAAATGGAGGACCAAAACTTCAAGGCCTTGGAAGCTCACAGCAAATTGCAGTTACTGAAAAACAAAGTTTGAAAACAGGAAACAGTGATATTTATCCTCCTAAAGCAAGAGAAGAATTGAGGACTGGCAGAGTAGTTCAAGTGGTAGAGCTCCTGCCTAGGAAGTGTGAGGCCCTGAGTTCAAACCAGTATCACTATAAGAGAGAGAGAGAGAGAGAGAGAGAGAGAGAGAGAGAGAATTGAACAGATTAAATAATGTAGCCATTTTACCTTTGAAGTGTCTAATTACATTGGGAAAATCTCTTGCAGGAAGGTTCTTTGGGAGGGGATTGTATTTTTATTTAGATTCTATACTGAAATGGGATGAAAATGAAAAGACAGTGTCTCTGCATCTGAATTTTAAAATTCTGAACTTAAAAATTTAAAAACAATTTTTGTCTCATAGGAATATTTGTCAAAATAGATAATAATGTGCTGGTGAGAAAGAGGAGAAATGAGAACCCTAGTGCACTGATGGGGATGTAAAATGGTATAGCTGCTTTGGTCCTCACTGGTTAAGCAGAGTCACTGTGTGACTGGCAGTTCCACACCTAGGTTCTGTACCCAGAAGTGAAAACACATGTCACACAAAAGCTTGGACATGACTGTTCACAGCCACATTCTTCACGATGACCAAAAAGAAGAAACAACCCAAAGATCTAGCAGCTGAAGAATGAATAAATACAGCATGCCAGTATAATCAGATGTTAACACCAATAAGAACATGAAACACTGATGTGTGCTGCAATATGGACAAACTGAAATCATTATGCTAAGTGAAAGCAGCACAGAGCTGGGTGCTGGTGGCTCACTCCTGTAATTCTTGCTACTTGGGAGGCTGAGATCCGGGAGGATTGTGGCAAATAGTTTGTGAGACCCCCATCTCCCAAATAACCAGAACAAAATGGACCAGAGGTGTGGCTTATGTGGTAGAGTGCTAGCTTTGCAAGCTCAAGCCCTGAGTTCAATCCTCAGTCCCACCAAAAAAAAAAAAAAAAAAGGAAGCTAGTCACAAAGGAGCAGATAGTGAGTATATGTCCACTGATAACGAAATGCCTAGAATAGGCAAATAGAGACAGAGATTAGATAGTGGTTGCCTAGGGCTAGGGACATGAGGATATTGGAAGAGGGATGGGTAGGAGGTGTGGGATTTGTTTTTGGAGTAAAGAAATTGTCCTAAAATTGTGATGATGAATGCACAGCTCTGTGAATATATTAAAAGCCATTGAATTGTACAGTCGAAAAGATGAATTGTATATGTGAATTATATCTCAATAAAGCTGTTGAGTACTTGTCAAAGAAAGAACTCTGGGCACCGGGCATAATGGTACGTGTTTTTAATCCTAGCAACTGGGAGGCTAAGGCAGGAGGATCACAAGTTCAAAGGTGGCCTGGGCAATATAGCAAGTTCAAGGCCAGCCTGAGCTACACAGTGAGACCGTTTGTCAAACAAAACAAAGCAAAATAGAGCTCTGAATGAAAATGAAAAGACAGTACTTCAAAACACTTGAACTATAATATTTATACATTTCAACATGAAAGAAAGTAAAAGTATCTTCTATTTAGCAGACTTTGTGTTGGGCTTATGCAGGTGCTTTTTCCCATTTAAAAATGTTACTGTCAGGCTGGAGGTGTGGCTCAAGTGGTAGACTGCCTGCCTAACAAGCAGAAAGCCCTGAGTTCCAACCCCAATACTGCTAAAAAATAATTATTATTGTAATTATTATTGTCTACAGAGAGGATGGATTGATGGTATGAACACTTTCAAACTGAAAAAAAGGAAAAAATCCACTACTGGGGATAATCTTTGTTAATCTTTCATTTCCTGTTCCTCATGTGACTATATAATGGACATAATACTTCCTACACAGTTTTTTCTTAAATATCAGAGTATTTATTTTCCTGTTTCTCATTTGAGTTCCTATCTCAGGCTCCATGGGCATTTCATCTACATTTGTAACAGCACATTGATTGTGTCAGGGAACGTGTGTCACATCCAGCAAGTCCTAGCATGTTGTACCGATGTGGGATGCAGAGAAGGTGCTTCCTACCTGTGCCTTGACTGAAACATGGATGGCCAAGCTGACTAGCATCCTACTGCCCTGCCCATCCACCTGTGAAGCCACCCTGAAAACAGTGTGTGTTTTGTTTTCTGATTTCTCAGGTATCGTGCTCCTGAAGTTTTATTGAGATCTTCAATATATAGTTCTCCCATTGATGTTTGGGCCGTGGGAAGTATAATGGCTGAGCTATACACATTGAGGCCACTTTTCCCTGGGACAAGTGAGGTTGATGAAATCTTTAAAATCTGTCAAGTGTTAGGGACTCCCAAGAAAGTAAGTGTGCTTGTTCCTAAATTATCATTTTTTAAATTATTTCTTGCTTGGTACTTTGCTTTGAATTTTACAACTTTTGATTTTTTTGTGACTGTTGCCTAGATATCTAGTATGTTCATTTTCAAATAGATTTATACTTTGATCATTTTCTTATAATCTGTAATCTGGGATAAGGACTGAAGAAAAAAGTGCTAGCCTTTCCTAAAGAATTTAAGGGAAGGGCAGGGGCATGGCTCAATCTGTAGAGCACCCGCCTAGCAAGCTGGAGGCCCTGAGTTCAAACCCCAATAGTGCCAAAAAAAAAAAAGGACAAAGTCTGTTTGGAGTGTAACTGTGTTGATGACAGGCTGAGGACTACAAGTCCACCTTGCTGAAACTCTTTCCCACTTGCTGGTGAACGCCAGTGGTCATCAGTTCATGGAGCACTGGACCTTATTGACTCAGTTAATTAATCTTTCTTTTTTCCATTTATAGACCTCAGGATAGTTAGGTACTTGGTTTCTTGAACTGAGTACTTTTCAATTAATATTTCCTGTTAGTTAGACCTTACTTTCTGAAATGTACCTAATTTAATTGCATTTAACTGTATCCTAATTGAATCAGCATGTGCCTTGTAGCTAACATCAGACAAGTAAGTGTAGATATTAATGTTGGAACGTAATTATCATCTCCAGATTTGTATAATTGTTAATGTGAGATTTGATATCTGATGTATAATGAGGATCTTTGTAGGGATCAGCCTCTTAGTAAAGTGTCCTGATTTATTCAAACTAACCAAGGTCAGCTTCATCAAGATCCCAAATCAGACAAGGGTTTAATATTTTAAAATTTATAAATTTTTTTCCTAACTCAGCTCAACACTCTTTCTATATGGTTTGTGGAACTGAATTGCATATAATAGAGTATGCTAATTTATTTTCACATTTATTTATGCGAATTAACATTAAAATTTTCTCACCTGAGTGATTTCTGTATTGTTACTGTTTTTAATTTACTAAAAACAATTTTCCTTTTGCTGTCCTGCCCACCCATGTATTCCTTCAACAGAGTGACTGGCCAGAAGGATACCAGCTGGCAGCCTCCATGAATTTCCGCTTTCCCCAGTGTGTTCCTATAAACCTAAAAACTCTCATTCCCAATGCCAGTAATGAAGCTATTCAGCTTATGACTGAAATGTTGAATTGGGATCCCAAGAAACGACCAACAGCAAGCCAGGTAAGTCACATCTCCCAGGTAGAGCTTTCTAAACTTCGAGGTTTTACAATATGAGGGGTGCTTGCATTTACAAAAGTCTGTTCTCAACCAGGGTTTTATCAAGAGAATGAAGCCCTTAGAGCCCTAAGGCATCTGTTGTATGGAATGAATCTATTCTTAGGCATATATGATCCTTGGGAGGATTGCAGAAATAGCCACGCAATGATTTTTTGAGTTTTGTGGCTCAAATAAGCACTTGTTTAGCATGGGCAAGACATGCCCATATGGCACTATCAACACCCCCAGTACCACAAAATTGGAAGGAACGGGTTAGGGGTGGGGAGGAAGGGAGGGAGGAAGGGGACCAAATTGGGAACTTTAGGAGGTTGAGGTTGAATGGATTCATCTCTAATGATAATTCTGACATGTGGCAGGCTAGTTAGGAAGTTGTCATGGTGAGCAAAAAGCCATCTCTTCAATCATTCTGCATAGTGGACTTTCCTGGGCTCTCCTTTGGTTAAGGGGTGGAATTCTTGTGAGGTGATGAAGTTCAACCTCAGCCTCTGACAAGAGGGCAGCATTGTGGGACCTACCCTTGGTCCCTTTGTGACTCTGCCACTTGAGCTATACCCTCAGTCCTTTTTTTTTTCTTTTTCTGCTTTAGTTATTTTTTGAATAGAGGCACATGTTTTTGCCGGGGCCAGCCTGGACTGAGATCCTTGTAGCTGGAATGAAAGGCATGTACCACCACACCCAGCTTATTAGTTGAGATGGGATCTTACTAACTTTTCTGCCTCAAACACAAGGTTTTTGTCATCTCTGTCTCCTGAGTAGCTGGGATTACAGATGTGACCCACCACAACCAGCCTTTTATTATAATTCTTATCATTTAAATGTAAATTCCATGTTAAAATTACCAAAAAATTATTGTGCTGCTGTTTTAATTTAACTTACGGAAACATTTTCTAAAGGCCACCTGGAAAAACAAATGGGAAAGACTGGTCAAAACTTGTTTGAACATAGTAAGTAACTAGAGAGCAGTGGGAATGGTGGACAGTCTGCTCTGTGAGATGCTGCAGTGGTCCGTGGAGTGGTGATGATGGTAACAGTGAAAGCACTGGCACAGGAATCACAATGCTCCCTGTTGCAGAATGTGTGTTGGTGAAGGAAAAGGGGGACAGGACTGCTCAGTGAATCAGAGCAAGACAGCTTGCTAACTTTAGGGGAAAAGTGATTTCTGGCTCTTACATCTCACTGCATAAATAAATCACAAAAGGGTTAAATATTATAAACAGACAGATAGATGTATATATGAACTCTAAAGCATTAAAAGGTAAAAACATGTGTGAAAACTTGATCCTATAATCTCATGGTAAGAAAAATATAGAGGATATAAAACACAGAAGAAATTACAAAGGGAAAACTCAGAAGATCTGATTACTTACAAATTAAAATTTGGGGGGTTGAGGGTGTGGCTCAATGGTAGGGTTACTGAACCTTCCAGCCATAAGGCCTGACTCTGGGTCTGAACACTTGCTCACATTTACCAAAAAAGACATATATATGCAAAATTGAATTTATTTAAATTCAGAGCCTCTCATGCTTGTTAGGCAGGCAGTCTACCACTTGAGCCACTCCACCAGCCCTGGGGAGAACAAAATTCTGACTCTCCATGTTGCTTCTAACAGTGTTAAGTTTATCAAAAAGATGAAACAAAAGCCAGGCAACATGCACATGTAGACTTACCTGTGCCCATTACTGGCACATGATGATGAGTCTTTCTTCTGGCCTTAGGAATCTTGGGATGGCCCATTTTCACCCCCAGTGTGGTATTTCCTGCAGGGATCCTGATTCCTAGTGTAAAGCCTTGGGTTCAATACCCTCCCACCCCAAATCATGGTTAATGGTGGCAGTATGTCCCAAATTAAGGATGCACATGATTTAAATTTGGAAACATGTAGGCTAACTCAATGTTAATGTTTCTGTGCGTTTATAGGCATTGAAACATCCATATTTTCAAGTTGGTCAGGTATTAGGCCCTTCTTCACATCATCTGGAACCAAAACAGACTTTAAATAAGCCACAGCCATTAAAACGGAAGCCATCTTTAGTTGAATTAGAACCTAATCCTCTGCCAGACATAACTGATCAGACTGTTGGACAGCCCCAGTCAAAACACAGCCACCAACCGCTGCAGTCCATTCAGGCACTCCAGAACACGGGTGTCCAGCAACCTCCAAAGCAACAGAATCAGCAGAAACAGCCACAGACGATGTTTCCAAGTATCATCAAAAACATGCCAGTGGTAAGTGGCCAGTAAGGATGCCTTAGAGGAAATATTCAATCGGTGCAGTTAGGATTCTGCCTCAAGACGTTTCTAATATCAGAAAAGATGTTTAAGACTATTCTGTGGCAAAGCGTCTGACAAGGGGCTTGATGTGAAATGACCTCACATTCTAGTACAGTGTATAAAAGGAGAGACTCCACACTGAAGGTCACAGTTTGCCTGCTACAGACTTCCTTTAACAGATAACTTCTATGAAAACAAATTCAAAGAAACAATTTAAAAGAACTCAAGATTACCGATCCTAAATCTTAAAGGTTTTTAACAGGCGTTTTATACTGTTTTTAAGTGTTAAGGAACATGACCAGAAGAGAATTTTTTAGTGGTAGGCACTCTTACTACTTCTGTTACATCTAGAAGCTTATCAGGTGCCATGCGGTTTTAGCTGACCTCCAAGTGTACACTTCCAACTCTGTTTGCATTGTGACACCTTAGGATGAACTGAAAGAGATTTACACAATACCACATCTAATTCCTTACCAGTGTCCAGCCACCCACACCCCTAGTATAAATGAGTCCCCAACTCCCGATAGCACTGACCACTTACTAACACACTACTGATCATTGTTTCTTAGGTTTATTGTTTAACACTGGCCCTGTCTACTAGAATGTAAGCTTCATGTGGTCAGGAATATTTCTCTGTATTGTTTAATAATAGAACTCCAGAACCCAGAACTGCCTGCCCAATGGAAGAGTCTCAACAAATTCATACTGATGAATGGATGAGTCATTGCCTACACTGCTTTATAACTACCTCCAGGGTCCCCATCTGGGATGGTTCTGAATATTAGAAAGTTCTTCCTCATACCAAACTAGATTTGATTTTCCATATCTTTTAGGTGTTGGAAAATAGCCCTTTTATTATCTGCCCCTTCTCTCAGAGATACATTCCCAGTTCCCTCACATGGCTCTGCATGTGCCATGGTTCATTGACGAGCCTCTACATCCCCTTGCCATCCTGCTTCCCGTGCAGAACAATGCTTCCAGAACTAGAAATACCCATTCACACCACCAAGGATCACATTCCTCTCCCACCCCCTAAGGCACAGCAGATGTGCATACTAAGGAAGAATTTTAGTATCTGTTGAGTTCCTACTAAGTGTGCTAGGTGAGGCCCTTGTGCACATTCTCTAAGTTATAGTACCCAACATCCCAGCCCCAAATTCTTATCTAGCTAACAGTGGGAATTGAGTAGTCTGTTAATGAAATTTCTGAGTCTCTTTTTTTAATAAATGCTTCAGTTAATTCACATATTTTTACTTCTATTTGCATATTTGATCTCTTAGGATTCAAAAAATTGCAAGACCACCAGGTGAGATGGCTCATATTTGTAATTCCAGCTACTTAGAAGGCAGAGATAGGGAGGACTGAAGTTTGAGGCAAGCCTGGGCAAGGCCCTGAGTAAAAAAACCCAATACCATCAAAAGCAAAAACAAAAACAAAAAGTTGCAAGATCTCACTTTACTTCTCAAGTTTCTAATTATTCTTGAGCCCTTATTTTTCCTCCTCATTTAAACTCTGCCTAGCTCATTGCCAGCTATGAATTTGCCTAGCTGTGTGTTTTCTCTCCTATATCTTCATGATGAGCAGAAAAGCAGTGAGCTATGAACAGGCCACTAGGTTCTTCTTCTAGATTGACATTGATCCATTAATCAGTGCTCTATCAAACTTCCAGATGAGATCCTGACCTACTTTTGCTGTCCTTTGATTGCCTTATTTCATTATTAAGGATATGATGACAAATTGTGATGCAATTTGAGTGAAGTTCGTAGCTATTACAGTATACTATATCTAATGAAGTCACTGCTTGCTCTTTATGAAAAATGGTGGCCTATGTGATCCACCAGTTCTTTTTCTCAGTGTTTGCAAACAACTGATTTTGCCCTCATCCTATACCAGACTGCTTGAGGTGGAGTTTGCAAAAGTCTACCCTGTATTTTATGAAAATTATTTCTGTTTGAATCTCTTCAGTCTTCTCAGACATCCGAGATTACTTGGGCATTACTGACCTGAATCATCAGTGTTTGGTGTCAGACCCTAAAATACAGTTCACCTGAGGGACTTTGGGTCTTTCTGTTCTCTCTGTGTGTAGACTGTTCTCCCTGACAAAGAAAATGTGTAGAAGTTAGCAAATGCCACTTCTTGTCATCACCCACTGCCATCATTGGCTTCATGCAGCAGCAAAATAGTCTTTCAGCATCTTCTTGCTCACAGTACAACTGATTTTGAATTGCCTTTTGGATTTGAGTTCATCTGCCTCAAAACTACTCTCTGTAAATTCATATAAAACCAGTCCATTGTTTTCTCAAAACCAGAACTTCTTCCTCATGCCTTATTTCTGTTGATGGTGCCATACTTAGGAGCCTATTAAACTCAAACCTAGTCATTCCTGCCTCTTTTCTCTCTGTGTCTGTTATGGTCACATTCAGTGACCTATGACAGAAACCACACCACTGTGGCATAAAAAGTCAGGGTTGCTTTCCTCACATAGTAAGAAGAGCCTGTGAAGGAACCTGCTGCTTCTATCTTCCTGCTCCACCCCCTTAACCAGTGACTTTCGTGTCTGTGGCCACAAGATGGCTCTTGCCATTTTAGGTGTGGCATCTGCATTTTGGAGAGGGAAGCATGAAAAACACTGGGGACATGCTAGCCTTAGTGTCCCACTTACGGAGAAGGACAATAAGACTTGGAATAGTTAAGTACTTTCCAAAGAGACAGCCACATTTGGGTTTTCTGGATTCTTCACATCAATGAAGGATCAACTCAGATCCTCAGTGTTTATGCCTCCCCTACCCAAGTTCACAGAGATCTCTCCTCCCTTAAACACCTATCATATTTTTGACATGTGCTACCTATTTTTGTTAATGCTTTTAAATGTACATATATTTCCTTAAGTACAGTCACACACCTCATAACATTTCAGCCAGTGATGCATTGCATCAATGACTGTGGTGCTATGATTATAACGGAGCTGAAAAGTTCCTACTGCCTGTCATGTGTTGATATTTTAAGTTGTTATTACAAGAGTCATAAGGTTTAAAAAGTTTAAAATTTAAAATATTTTAAATTCATAAAGTAAAAAGTTACAGTAAGCCAAGGTTAATATATTTTTGAAGGAAGACAAATTCTTACATATAGGTAGCATAGCTTAAGTGCACAGTGTTTGTAACGTGCACAGGCTTGCACAGTGTGCCCTGGGCCTTCATGTTCACCCCCCACTCACTCACCAACTCACCCTAAGCAACTTCCAGTGCTGCAAACTCCATTCACATTACCTGCACTAGCTATCTGTACCATTTTTAATCTTTTAGACTATTTTCTTTTAATTTTCCTTCCTCTTCTTTTTTTTTTGACAGGGAAGGCGAGGGACTGGGTTGAACCCAGGGCCTTGCACATATTAAGCATGCAGTCCACTATAGCGCTACATCTCTTACTGTAATTTTCTGTGTTTAAACACAAAAATACTTGACCATTGCACTACAGTGGCCCATGATATGCAGTATAGGAACAGGCTGTACAGGTTTGTAGGCTAAGAGCAATAGGTTTAGTGCATAACCTTGGTGTGTAGTAGGCTAGACCTTCTTGGTTTGTGTAAGTACATTCAATAGTGTTCTCACAATGGCAAAATCACCTAAGGTCAGCACTTCTCAGAACACGTCCTGTCATTAAATAACACATAACTATATGGAAGGCTCCTTGAGAATAAGGACTCTTAGTTTCTGATACATTGGGCATAAAAGGCATTCAGCAAATGACTAAAGATTACGATGACTGATTTTCCACCACAGAAGCCAGTTGGCACACTAGACCATAAGAGTGCTAGGAGGCGTTGGGGGCAGACTGTCTTCAAGTCTGGAGATAACTGGGAGGACTTTGAGGACTACGATCTTGGAGCCTCCCATTCCAAGAAGCCAAGCGTGGGTGGTCTCAAAGAAAAGATGAAGAAAGAGTCTCCATTTGGGTAAGATTCCACTTTCCTCAGGAAGATTGCTTTAACCATGTCCCAACTTTATTTTACTTACTAAAAAATATAATGAATGTAGCTCTTAAAGGACAAAATAGCTGAATATTTTCTTCTACAAAATTGAAAACCCTTTCTGCATACCTCTGAAAATCTTGACTTCTCATAGTAAAGAATGAGTGTATATGTATGTATGTGTGTGTGTGTGTGTGTGTGTGTGTGTGTGTGTGTGTAAGGATTCTTGTTCAGTTTTTTTTTGTTGTTGCTCTGGTGATGATTGACTGATTGATTGATTGATTTAAAACAGTCTTGGAACCTATGGGACACAGCAAAGGCAATGCTGAGAGGAAATAGCCATGAGTGCATATATTAAAAAGACTGAAAGATCCCAAATCAATGACCCAATGATACATCTCAAACTCCTAGAAAAACAAGAACAAGCAAATCCCAAAACAAATAGGAGAGCAATAATAAAAAGAGCTGAAATCAACGAAATAGAAACAAAAAAAAACATACAAAGAATTAATGAAACAAAAAGTTGGTTATTTGAAAAAATAAAGATCGACAGACACCTGGCAAACCTGACTAAAATGAGGAGAGAAAAAACCCAAATTAGTAGACTCAGGAATGCAAAAGGGGAGATAACAACAAACACCATGGAAGTCCAGGAAATCATCAGAGACTACTTCGAGAAACTATATTCAAAAAAATTTGAAGACTTAAAGAAATGGACAGATTTCTAGATACATACAATCATCCAAAAACTGAACCAAGAGGAAATTAATCACCTGAATAGATCTGTAATACAAAATGAAATCAAAGCAGCAATCAAGAATCTCCCCAAAAAGAAAAGTCCAGGACCTGATGGATTCTCTGCTGAATTCTATCAGACCTTTAAAAAAGAACTGATACCAACCCTCCTTAAACTGTTCCACGAAATAGAAAGGGAAGGAAAACTGCCTAACACATTTTATGAAGCCAGTATTACACTTCTCCCAAAACCAGGCAAAGACACCTCCAAAAAGGAGAACTATAGGCCAATCTCCTTAATGAACATTGATGCAAAAATCCTTAACAAAATAATGGCAAACTGAATTCAGCAACACATCAAAAAGATTATTCACCACGACCAAGTAGGCTTCATCCCAGGAATGCAGGGGTGGTTCAACATAAGAAAATCAATAAATGTAATAAACCACATTAACAGAAGCAAAGACAAAAACCACTTGATAAGATTCAACACCATTTCATGATCAAAACTCTAAGAAAACTAGGAATAGAAGGAAAGTACCTCAACATTATAAAAGCTATATATGACAAACCTATAGTGAGCATTGTACTTATTGGAGAAAAACTGAAACAATTCCTTCTAAAATCAAGAACTAGGCAAGGATGCCCACTAGCTCCACTCCTATTTAACATAGTACTGGAATTCCTAGCCAGAGCAGTTAGGCAAAAGAAGGAATAAAAGGAATACAAATAGGTAAAGAAACTGTCAAAATATCCCTGTTTGCAGATGACATGATCCTATACCTTAAAGACCCAAAAAACTCTACTCAGAAGCTCTTAGACACCATCAATGGCTATAGCAAGATAGCAGGATATAAAATCAACATAGAAAAATCATTAGCATTTCTACACACTAATAATGAACAAACTGAAAAAGAATATATGAAAACAATTCCATTTACAATAGCCTCAAAAAAAATCAAATACCTAGGTGTAAACCTAACAAAAGATGTGAACGACCTCTACAAGGAAAACTATAAATTTCTGAAGACAGAGATTGAAGAAGACTATAGAAAGTGGAGAGATCTCCTATGCTCATGGATTGGTAGAATCAACATAGTAAAAATGTCTATACTCCCAAAAGTAATCTACATGCTTAATGCAATTCCCATCAAAATTCCAATGACATTCATTAAAGAGACTGAAAAATCTACCGTGAAATTTATATGGAAACACAAGAGGCCACTAATAGCCAAGGCAATACTCAGTCAAAAGAACAATGCTGGAGGCATCACGATACCCGACTTCAAACTATATTACAAAGCAATAACAATAAAAACAGCATGGTACTAGCACAAAAATAGACATGAAGACCAGTGGAACAGAATAGAGGACCCAGATATGAAGCCACACAACTATAACCAACTTGTCTTTGACAAAGGTGCTAAAAATATACGATGGAGAAAAAGCAGCCTCTTCAACAAAAAACTGCTGGGAAAACTGGTTAGCAGTCTGCAAAAAACTGAAACTAGATCCATGTATATCACCCTATACCAAGATTAACTCAAATGGATCAAGGATCTTAATATCAGACCACAAACTCTAAAGTTGATACAGGAAAGAGTAGGAAATACTCTGGAGTTAGTAGGTATAGGTAAGAACTTTCTCAATGAAACCCCAGCAGCACAGCAACTAAGAGATAGCATAGATAAATGGGACCTCATAAAACTAAAAAGCTTCTGTTCATCAAAAGAAATGGTCTCTAAACTGAAGAGAACACCCACAGAGTGGGAGAAAATATTTGCCAGCTACACATCAGACAAAGGACTGATAACCAGAATAATAGGGAACTTAAAAAACTAATTCTCCCAAAACTAATGAACCAATAAAGAAATGGGCAAGTGAACTAAACAGAACTTTCTCAAAAGAAGAAATTCAAATGGCCAAAAAACACATGAAAAAATGCTCACCATCTCTAGCAATAAAGGAAATGCAAATTAAAACCACACTAAGATTCCACCTCACCCCTGTTAGAATAGCCATCATTAGCAACACCACCAACAACAGGTGTTGGCGAGGATGGGGAAAAAGGAACCCTCTTACACTGTTGGTGGGAATGTAAACTAGTACAACCACTCTGGAAAAAAATTTGGAGGCTACTTAAAAAGCTAACATTGATCTACCATTTGATCCAGCAATACCACTCTTGGGGATATACCCAAAAGACTGTGACACAGGTTACTCCAGAGGCACCTGCACACCCATGTTTATTGCAGCACTATTCACAATAGCCAAGTTATGGAAACAGCCAAGATGCCCCCACTGATGAATGGATTAAGAAAATGTGGTATCTATACACAATGGAATTTTATGCAGCCATGAAGAAGAACGAAATGTTATCATTCGCTGGTAAATGGATGGAATTGGAGAACATCATTCTGAGTGAGGTTAGCCTGGCCCAAAAGACCAAAATCGTATGTTCTCCCTCATATGTGGACATTAGATCAAGGGCAAACACAACAAGGGGATTGGACTTGACACATGATAAAAGCGAGAGCACACAAGGGAGATGTGAGGATAGGTAAGACACCTAAAAAATTAGCTAGCATTTGTTGCCCTTAACGCAGAGAAACTAAAGCAGATACCTTAAAAGCAACTGAGGCCAATAGGAAAAGGGGACCAGGAACTAGAGAAAAGGTTAGATCAAAGAATTAACCTAGAAGGTAACACACATGCACAGGAAATCAATGTGAGTCAACTCCCTGTATAGCTATCCTTATCTCAACCAGCAAAAACCCTTGTTCCTTCCTATTATTGCTTTACTCTCTCTTCAACAAAATTAGAGATAAGGGGCAAATAACCTGCACATCCATGTTTATTGCGGCACTATTCACAATAGCCAAGTTATGGAAACAGCCAAGATGCCCCACCACTGACGAATGGATTAAGAAAATGTGGTATCTATACACAATGGAATTTTATGCAGCCATGAAGAAGAACGAAATGTTATCATTCGCTGGTAAATGGATGGAATTGGAGAACATCATTCTGAGTGAGGTTAGCCTGGCCCAAAAGACCAAAAATCGTATGTTCTCCCTCATATGTGGACATTAGATCAAGGGCAAACACAACAAGGGGATTGGACTATGAGCACATGATAAAAGCGAGAGCACACAAGGGAGGGGTGAGGATAGGTAAGACACCTAAAAAACTTAGCTAGCATTTGTTGCCCTTAATGCAGAGAAACTAAAGCAGATACCTTAAAGCAACTGAGGCCAATAGGAAAAGGGGACCAGGAACTAGAGAAAAGGTTAGATCAAAAAGAATTAACCTAGAAGGTAACACCCACGCACAGGAAATCAATGTGAGTCAATGCCCTGTATAGCTATCCTTATCTCAACCAGCAAAACCCCTTGTTCCTTCCTATTATTGCTTATACTCTCTCTACAACAAAATTAGAGATAAGGGCAAAATAGTTTCTGCTGGGTATTGAGGGGGGGGGAGAGGGGTGGAGTGGGTGGTAAGGGAGGGGGTGGGGCAGGGGGAGAAATGAACCAAGCCTTGTATGCACATATGAATAATAAAAGAAAAATGAAAAAAAAATCATTATGTAGATTTTTAAACTGTTGGAAAAAAAAAAGAAGCAGGCTTTTTTCCTCTTTTGTACCATAATTTTCACTTGATTTATTTGGTGGACCAGGGTTTGAACTCCAGCCTCTCCCTTGCTGGGCAGTGGTCTTCCATTCGAGCCACTCTCCTGGCTCTCCTACTTTATTCTTCACTGGTATGATTGTATCTATGAAATTCAATAAAAGAACATTTTCACTGGTTAAAAAAAAAAAAAAAAAATGGCAAAATAGTTTCTGCCAGGTATCAAGGGGGTGGATGAGAGAGGGAGGGGGTGGGGTGAGTGGTAAAGGAGGGGGTGGGGGCAGGGGGGAAGAAATGACCCAAGCATTGTCTGCACATATGAATAATAAAAAAATAATAATAAATTTAAAAAAAATAAAAGAGTCTTGCTCTGTTGTCTAAGGTGGTTTCAAACTCCAGGACACAAGTAATCCTCCTGCCCCAGCCTCCTGAGCAGCTGGGGCTACAGGTGTGCCCCCATCCTTGGCTCACACTTGTGAATTGTGATCGTCACTATCCCCATTTGAAATTCACATGCCTGCTTGCAGAAAGCAGAGAACCATATGTGAAATTAATGGTTTCTTCTGCTGCTGATAAGATTCTCATTATTGGCTTTCCTGCTGTTCTCACCTTCTTTTAAGCATTTTCTGAACCTTACTGGAAGTTTACTGTCTCTGGCAGCTCCCTTCCTTCTTGTGAGTTAGGTGGTCATTACTGCATTATTCAGCTTTTAAAGTCAGGAGGGTTACATTTTGGTGAACATTTTGGAAAGAAACTTTCAGGTTTTTTTTACCTTAGAAGAGGAACAGGGAAGAAAGTTACATCATGAACAGTGAAACTTACCTAATAACTGCTGGCATTGTGCACTGCAGAAGTCTGCACTTTGGGGCACACATACCTCTAAAGGTACATAAAAATCTCTCAAGGAAACATATGCTTCTAAGTCAAGCCATTTCTGGATCCTTGCCTTCCATAGGTATTCTTCCCTAAAATACATGAATTTGAGAGAAAGCCCATTTAATCTGTACTTTAGACAAGCAAGCTACCCCATTTGGCCATTTTAAGTCTTATACAGCCCTAGGGTGTAACAGCCCTAGAGGTGGTGAAAAAGGAAGGAATCAGAAGACTAACACCTTCTGTTCAAAAGACTTTTTGTTGTTCCTTGTCTTGTACATATTTCTCTTAAGGGGAAAACACTGCATTAGAAATAGGGTATTTTGGTGTCATTCACCTGTTGTCCCAGTTACTTAGGAAGCTAAGGCAGGAAGATCACTTAAGACCAGGCTAAGCAACATAGCCAAGACCCTGTTCATTTAAAAAAAGAAAGGAAGGAAGGAAGGAAGGAGGGAGGGAAGGAAGAAAGAAAAAGAGGAGGGGAGGGGAAAGGAAGGGAAAGAGAGAAAAGAGAAATAGGGTATTTTAGCCTGTGTTGGAAAGCATGGAGATTCAGAACCACTGAAGCACAATGGGTTAGAAGTGTTCTTTTAAACATACTAGAATATTCTGTAGAACCATCTGTTTTTTTCACAACATATGCATAAGCCGGGTGCAGTGTCTCACACCTAGGGAGGCAGAGATTGGGAGAATCTTGGTCCTAGGCCAGCCCTGGGGACAAGGCTAGCAAGACTTCATCTCAACTAATGGCTAGGTGCTGTGGTGAGTGCCTGTCATCCCAGCTACTCAGGGAAGCATAAATAGGATTGTGGTCCAGGCTGGCATAGGCATAAAGCAAGATCTTATCTCAGAAATAGCCAATGCAGAAGGGCTGGTGGAGTGGCTCAAGTGGTAGAGCATCTGTCTAACAGGCCTACAAGCCTGAAGCCCTGAGTTCATCCCCCAGTACACCACCACCACCACCCAAAAAAAAAATGCACAGGTTACAAAATTTTTAAAGTATTACAGCTAAGTTTATGGAATAAAGTTTAACTTACCAAGTCATATGGTAAAATACTCCAATTGTAGTCATCCCTAACATGATTTCATCTGATATTTGTTTCATATATTTTTATCTGCTCTTGATAAGAAACAAGAGATAAATTTATGATGAAAATTATAGATGTGAACTTAAAGATATTCAGGGATTTATATCTTTTTAAAGAAACAATTCTTCAGGTTTGGGAGCAAAAGAGATTAAAGACTGCTTGAACACTTTAAAAAAAACTTTTTATTCTAATTTTGGCCAAACTTCATTCATATATTTTTGAGGGTGGTTAAGTTTGAAGCAAAACCTGTACCTAAGATTAAAGTTGCAGCCCATATACCTGATTCTAGCAAGGAGGAAAAAATAGGTAAATTTCTCCAACATCAATTATCCTTTTTCTCTTGAAATTCTTTAGAAAAGTAAAAACTATCTGACAATGAAATTTTCATGTGGGTATTTCTTCCACATTTTTACTTTCTAGTGTCTTTCAATAGTTCCCTGTACTTCTGGGAATATATTTATTATTACTCTGCTACCCTCTATTAAACACCTACTTAAGTTTTACTTAAAATCTTCCTCCTCGAGTAGAAATCTCTGCACAGTAAGACACTGAGACTCAGATAGGTCGGGTACTTTGCCCAAGAGCAGATGAGGCTTAATCCAAATCCAGGTCTTTCTCTCTTGTATACCATGGCACTAGGAGCTCAAACACTTGGTGAAGTGAACAAATCTATTCTTTGCTCAGTCTTTTAAGCTGCTGGGGCTTCCCTCATAAAGAACACAGGACACCAAATATTAAAGTGTAAACCTTTTATTCAATGGTTGTCTTTTTTAATGAACAAAAGCAATGTATTTATATCATACATGTGTTTCTACTCAGCAGACATTTATTGACTATGTAGTTGGTACTAAGCAAAGGTCTGATACAGCCTGTCCTCAACTCATCAAATATGCGGCAGCAGAAACATGACCTTTAAAGAGTTTTTGTACAAGAGTGTGTATTGAGCACCTCCTATGAAGCAGCTGCAAGGAGCCCTTGAGTTCTGCTTGTGGGCTTAATAGGCAGGATTGTGCTTAGCATGTACAAGGCTCTGGGTTCAATCCCCAGTACCACCAAAAACAAGGGGGCAGGGGAATGGGTAGAACTTTCATAAGTGATGAAACTATGATGGGGTAATGGGAGGGGAAAGAAGTCAGAAATGGTGGGGCTATTTCCACCATTAGCAAACCTACCTTTTAGGAGGCCTACCGCAGAGCAGGTAGTCAAAATTCAAAGGCCGACCAAGTTGATGTCCATTTCCAAGGGTGAGGAATTGGTGAGTGGGAGTGGATGTGGCAGTGTGAATTTATAGGTGGCACCTGTGAATGCTTGGAGTAAGACAGGTTGGGCTGGACAGTACAGCTAGGCCCATGCAAAGAATGAGGCTATTTAGAGGGTGGTTTTAGGGCGCTTGGTCAGTCATGAGGGCTCTTTATAACATACAGAGTAATAGGCAGCAAAACAAATTACAGTCCCATCCTCTGGGAGTGGATGGCTGCCCCGTCTACTGCTGTTTGATTAGAATGGTCTCAAGAACAAGGCAGAGCTAAGCATGGAAGCTGGAAGTCCTCGAGTCTTACACAGGAACTGGGCTGGGGGACAGTCAGTCTTAATGCTGACGCCACAGTGAGCCTGTCCACAGAGAGGGGTCTATTCTGCCTCCTGGGGAGTAGGACTTCTCAGCAAATATGGCACCTGTTTTCTGTGCACGCCAGGAGGACAGTTGAAGTTTTATGTGGGCGCTTTCCCAGCCCTTCTTTTCTCAATGAGTTCTCTTAGCCCATCCAAACCATACCCTGAACTACCTTACCTCATGAATTACTTCAGAATGGGTGAAGATGACTATGACTGTCTTCCCTTCCAACACTTGGTCTTCCCAGGTTGAGTCCACAAGCAGCTTCAGAAAAGATAGCAACATATGATACACAGGTAGTTGCTGTCTGTTCTAACACCACTCTCACGTACTGTGTGGTACCAGAAATGATTCTGTGTGTTGCCTAAAGGATCGAGGAGTTGTCATTTGGCATTCTTACCAGCAACAGGATTCCTTTGGTTTCTCCTTGACTGACTTGAAACACTGTAGAAGTGGGAGGACCTCTCAGTTTTTGATCTGTAATTAACTACCTTATGTTCACTTTCAAGGCTTCCTGAGTCAGTACCCTCAGACTCCAGCCACTCCACAGGGGAAAACAAGAGCTTGGAAAACAGGAACTTAACTGCTGCTATTTCCCTAAAATCTGATGCTGAATTGTCAGCTTCAACAGCTAAACAGTACTATTTGAAACAGTCAAGATACCTTCCAGGTGAGTGGAGAAAATAACATGTCTATTACTAACAGAATATACATAGGTCAGGCTCGGGTGCCTTGGGATCTCTGAAAAAGTGAATAAAAAGTGCAATCACAGAGCTCTTTGATGGCTGCACCTTTGTTGCCAAGGACATTTTGGACTTCCCACCTCTGCCACTAAAAGTCTACTTAGAAATACAGAGCAGGGACTGGAGGTGTGGATCAAGTGGTAGAGCACCTGCCTAGAAAGTATAAGGCCCTGAGTTTAGAACCCCAGTACTAACAAAAAAAAAAAAAACAAAAAACAGAAATGCAGAGCAGCCAAACATGAGAATAATAAACATGCTTCCCCAAAATACTGCCCCCCAACCAAAGCTATGCACATAGTAAATGATAAATTTTACTGAAGCAGTTCTGCACCCCATTACAACTTTTTATGAAATACAGATTTTTTATATTGTTTCATAAATAATGTGATGTATTTTTTTACAAGATCATTCTGACTGTTGGGTAAAACATGTTAGAGACTCATAGAGGCAAGAACACTAGTCAAAAGGCTATTGCATGTATCCAGATGGGAGAGGATGACACCTTGTTCCATAGTGAAGGAATTAGAGACAAAAGTGAGTACAATCTTTTGGTAGTGGAATTCCATAGGATTTGAGGATAGAGTTGCCTGGGTGACAGCACAGAATGGAAGAATCAGTGTCAGCTTTTG